AGAGAGAGAGAGAGAGAGAGAGAGAAACAGTAGGGGGAGCAATGGAGTGAGGGAAGGACAGAAAGATAATATACAAGTATAGAGGAGATTGGAGAAAGGCTAGCTTTGGAGGGAGGGAGAGAAAGGAGGAGAAAGATTGGAGAGAATATGGAAATAAAAAGCATGAGAAAGAAAAAGGAGAGAGAAAAAGGGAGAGAGGGAGATAGAAAAAGAGAAAGAGGGAGATATATATATATATAGAGAGAGAGAGAGAAAGAGAGAGAGAGGGAGAGAGACAGAGACAGAGAGAGGAAGAGAAGTGTGAGGTTTGAAGACGTCAAAAAAACAAAAAATAATAAACAACAAAAAATGTAACTCAGTTCCTTTGTTCACAGACAAGAGTAATGCTTGGAATATTTTCAAAGATTGAATTTATTCACCAGAGCTGGCAAAGTTCCCCCCATGTGAAGGACATCAGTCAACAGAGGACGGTTTACAATTTAAAAGTCATGAACAATATTTTAGAATGAAACTGAAAAAACAAAATATTATATGTGGAATGCATGTGAGCAGAACAGCCAACAACATTATTGTACTCAATTACAGACGATTGCATGTGAGAGGGAGGGGGGAGGAGGTGAAACTGCTACAAAGTTCTACTTCTTGTCTGTCTGTCTGTCTGTCTGTCTGTCTGTCTGTTTGTCTGTCTGTCTGTCTGTCTGTCTGTCTTACTACAGTCTGTCTGTCGTCTTCTTTGCCAGCACTAAATGTCCTTCAATGTGACCATCTTTACAAACAAACAAACAAACAAACAAACAAACAAAAACGAACAAACTAGGCTATCCGTACAAAATAAAAACTTGCCTTTGATTAGTTTCTGTCGATATGGAAAGAAGATTACTATTTTAATGTTCAAAATAAAAAGTCCGTGCACTCTGAAAAGGGTAAATGTTTCTTCACTGTGTATCATCCTGATCTCTCCTCTTTATTAAAACATTTTTTCAAGTACATTACTGTATGTTACTGCCCAGTACCCCACCTCTCTTCTGCATTATATGACCTTATTTGTGACGCAAGGAGTCTTTTATGGACCTGAGTATCTTGATCTTTTAACGGGGAAGTTGTATCCCTCTCAGCCCAGGTTGGCCCTGACAGGCAGGGTTGAAAGCCTGCCTCACAAAAGATCTAAATTGTATTTATATGTAGGAGAAAAAAAACAAAACAAGCTCAATCAGCTCTACAATTATTTTTTTTAAATTCAGGGTTTGAGTTTTTTCAACCATACTGGATTATTTTCCCTCTTGTCTTTTTGCTCCAGTAGTAGATCTATTCCAACAGCAGAATCATTTGCTTTGGTTTTGAAATTGGCTAACTTGCGTCTTATCTTCACCATCATCATGAATAATCAAAATAATATTACGACTAAAACAAGAGAACATATATGTGAGGCAATATGCTGAAATCAGACGCTCACCAAAATAATGATAATGACAGTCAGGAAACGCATTTTCCCGCCAGTTTGGGAATTTTTAACAAATTTTTGTTTTTTGGTTCAACACCTTTCATACCCTTTAAAGAACACATTTCTGAGTGGATTTTACTGAAAAACGTGGATTAAAAGCATAAAAATATAAATTTTCTGTTTCCACAGACTCGAAAGCAAAGGAAATAACTCAAATTTGGCAGCCATTTTCTCACTAATTTTACCTCTGAAACCAGGCTGCCCCCACCTCCTTCAATTGCCGGTATCTTGACTTGTATCCAAGATAAATAGATATTATTTTTCACAGAAAGCAAGCAAATGGACTAGCTTTATGATGATACCAATAACTCCATATGCTCCAAAATTGACGAGCGCCTGATTCCTCCAGGTCATGACACAAATCTATCACGGACGTGCTTGTGACTCGCAGACAAATAATGAAGCTCTCTCCTGCCCTTTTACCTTTCAAAACAAGACATAACACCACAACGAAAATGATACAAACAAATACATTTTTATGCATATATATATATAATATGAATTATGTCCTGCTTTCATAAAAGTACAGTTTGTATGGTTTTGGCCAATGTTTAGAAAGAAGGACTCAGTATGAAAACAAGCTGTAATAATCAACGAGATGATGCGTACCGAGGAGGGAGAGAACAGTACAGTGTGATAAAAGTGGTTCAAGACCACGAGAAAGTATGAGAAAACGGAGAGATTTCCCTCCTGATACTGAGCATTACCTTCCAAGCTGTATCATTTCGCAAATGGCACTTATCAATGACTTTGTTCAGAGGCGAAGGAATAAGAACGTACATGGTTGCACCAAAATGTCATTGTCAGCAATGTCAAAGACAGAGTTTGAGAATTCTTTTTCTACATGGAACAGAAACAAACATCTTGTCCAGTTCCGTAACTTTTATTTGGTCTCTGAATGGAATGTTTCTCTCTCGCCTTAAGCACTTTTGTCTTCCACCAGGCTAACAACACATTTAAGCAGTTATAGTGCAGTCAAAAATACAAGGCTCAACTTATTGTGAAATATCTCCTTCACTACAGAACATAGATTCTCCAACTTTAGCACAATGACTTATACAAATTTGTCTTAACCGGAGAATATTTTTTTCAAACTCCTGCACACTGTATTCTAGAAAATTCCTTAATAAATACTTATAACAAATCCGAGTCGATGGTTTCTAGAGATTTTTAAAAGTTTACAGCTCGGGCAATATCGCTTTTAAAAGCAAGTCTGTCTTTTTTTTTCTAATCGCGATAGTATGCTTATTAATTGAACTTATGTTTAGGGAACCTTTAGTACAAAAAAATGTGTTTATTATAAAAATATTTCTTGTAACTAGTTTTGCCACTAAAAAGTGTCATTTGTGAGCTGTGACGTAGGTCATATGCGTAGGCAAAATGTATGCAAGATGGAAGTGCTGTGAACAATCACATTTTCCGTGTGATGGAGATTTATAGCATTTTATATAAATTTATGTAGAAAAGGTTTTTAATCGGGCCTCAATTGTTGTAGAAAAATATGATTAAGTTAAGACAAATTGATACAAACTGCTATGCAAAATATGGGAGTACATTGGTTCACCCGTTACAGAGTTTTTTGGGGATAAGTTGCGCAACGGATTTTTCACCGCACTATAGTTTTGTCATAAGACATCGAAACAACTGACCATCAAAATGACCCGTCACATCTAGGGGGTTGTTGAAATTCCTACAAATAACTCCCCCCTCTTCCCCCCTCCCCCCACAAACCTCCTTTAAATTCATACAGAAACCCTTCCTCTGCCCCAGCCAATCACATACATACGTTCACCCTTCCCCTGCCCCAGCCAATCACATACATACGTTCACCCTTCCCCTGCCCCAGTCGACTTTAACTTCTAATAATGTGACTGTACAAATAACATGTCAGTAAAAACAACGACAACAACAACAACAACAACAACAACAACAACTGGCGATGATGATAAAGTTCTGTATGGAGTGCTGAAATGGAAGGGTAAATAAATACTTTTTTTTTCTCTTTCTTAAACGAGTAAATGTAAGTAAGCCAAGACGGGGTCAGGCAACAAATGAACTGAAGAAATATCCACACAGAAGAAGACAACAAAATACACCCCCGTCGATCACAGAATCGTAGAATGTAAATACAACTGTATAAAAAAAATATATATATCTATATATAGCTCAGAAGGCACAAGTACAAATAGGTCATGCGATGAGCGCAGAAGGAATGTCGCCACTTGGTAATTACGTACAGAACATAATTATGCACAGAAAATTTGGAAAGGAATAACAAACAACACAGGAACCAGAAAAACCAAAGGAACATTTTTTTTTAAAGCAACTTCCAAGGAAAATCTCAAACACACACCTATCTCACATCTGTGCAAGCCTAAGCTGCAACACATATGTTCATCTTTCTCTCCCTGTCATTTCCATTTGTAACAAAAAAATAAGACCATTTGAAATTATATTGTCATTTGCAGAGTCTAAAACTAACACAGCACAGTTTCATAATAATACAAAGGAGAGAGAGAGAGAGAGAGAGAGAGAGAGAGAGAGAGAGAGAGAGAGAGAGAGAGAGAGAGAGAGAGAGAGAGAAGAGAGAGGGAGGGAGGGAGAGACAGAGAGAGAGAGAGAGAGAGACAGAGAGACAGAGAGAGATGGAAAAACAGAAACAGAGGCGGAAACAAAAAAAGATATATAAATATATAATTAATCCCTATGTAGTAATGAACAACAATTCAGAAATGAATCAATTCTAATTGTACACAAAGGTAGCTTGGCTTTAAGTAATGCACTCAGCCAAACAAAGGCAAGAGACAAATTTGAGTAAGAAACAAGATATAATAAGCCATTGGGATTTTACAGCAAAAAACACGAAACATGGGTGAAGGTTACGTGAAATGAACACTGCTACATATATGCAAATTGCTTGCATTTGTGAGAGAAAGACAGACAAAATAATTTAAAGTGAAAACAAAAATAGTTCAGAAACAAGATATGACGAGATGGTTAAAGTTTCACAAGCGTCCAAGGATCAATGGTAAATCCCACAAGTCAAGGATATCTGGCTTTCTGGTCTCATGGCACTACTTGCAGTCTAGAGGTAATAGGTTCCATTCCCCACGGGACTTCACGGTGACCCGTAAAGACGGTTTCAGTAGAGAACGGGATAGAGGGTGCCCACATCCCTTGTGACTCATTGGAGCTGAGGAAGATAGGACTAACGCTAACATTACTTAAACGCAATCCCACATCATCACTCATCATCACCATTATTTCTAAAATCATCATTGCTTTCATATCAGATCAACGACTTACATCTATAATCCTTGAATCTCTATCTGTAACAGTTATAATTATTCATATTACGTATGCACTTAATACATTCTTGGACATTATCATAATCACTTCTTTCTACTAATCAGATGGCGTCAATCTCATAGAAATGGGCAAGGGATTTTTTTAAAAAGATTAAATTCCCTGAGAAGTTGATCTCAACCCCAAGTGTCTTTTTTTAGAGCGACTGTTGCAATGGGTCTGCTCATTTGGCCCTGAGGAAATTAAGTACAGTGCAGCCTCTCTATAACGACATTCGATATAACGACATCCTCTGTATAACGACATGGTGCCTAGGTCCCAATTTTTTATATATATATATATCATTTGTAATATTTTTGGTAGCTTCCCTGTAATAGCAACAACTCTCTTTTACGACATTTTATTTCTGGTCCTGACGATGTCGCTCTAGAGAGGCTGCACTGTACAAGCACCTGGCTCTGAGAAAAAGATAAAGGAGAGGTATAATATATTTATTAGAGACTAGCTTTTTATTACTTTAAAGAGATCAACGGATAAGCTAGCATTTGCTGTAATCTACTTCGCTATTCGCAATTACACTGGAAAAGCTCTGTAATCAATGAGTCTCAACAAACAGAACATTTTTTAAAATTTCAAATGACGCTAAAACACAGGGTAGTTGTCATTCTACAGTGGGTTAAAAATTCTTCATAACCCCAAGCAACTGACATCTTGACAATGAGAAATTTGAGACTCCCCCCCCCCCCCCCCCCGCCCCCCCACCTTCACAAAAGCTCAAAACAGAATCAAAACTTGCGTCTACTTAAAAGGTTTTCAGTGTGAAGGGGAGAGACTACATTCACATTGCACTAGACGCATTTTCTTGGAAAAACTTAAACAGTAGAACATGACTATAGCGGGATTTTTAGTTCCAGAAGAAAAATCCTGTGGCAGGCAAGTTCTCGCTATAGGAATGCAAAGGGGATTTACCAAAAAAAACAACACTGTTTGAAGCCCACCTACAGCCCCCAATCCCCCAACCCCCAGCTAGAGCTCGCTTGATCTCTCCCACTGTATCCAAGTTTCGGCCTTTCCTTTCCCCCTTAAACCCAAGCACAGTAAATTAAGTTTACATCGAGACAAAAACAGGGGACTCCGGTAAGGTCCCACAGCAGGGATGGTCCCGCAGCAGAGGGTGCCGGTAAAGTCATGTTCAACTGTAGGAGGGCCCACAGAAAAATATTCAAAGGAAGCAAATATATCGCAAAAATAAGTAGCTCTGAATCACGTCAAAAAAGCCAAAACACATCGAGATTCCATTCCATAGTTTCATCATTCATGAGTCAGGTGTTCAAGTAGGTACAAACTACAAGTCATAGAGCAAAAAAACTGTTTGCAAATTGGTACAGAACGCCTCCCTCCCTTTCCTTCCCCACAAATATTTCTCTACCCCAAAATTACAAAGTTCTATCTGCTGAGTACATAGTTTTGAGAAATTTTACATCAGAATTTTTTAGTTTTAGAACATATCAAGCATCTTCGAATGCACTTCTTTCAATATCTTGATAACAACTCTGAATATTCTTACCATTTTGATAGAGCAGATAGAACATTTGTGAGGCGGACTGACACAAAGAGTTACTTCTCGCTATCCACAAATGGAGATATTGGCCAAAAATTGACACTTGGGTCAAATTTGTAGATTATCTATTGATGCCGTATTCTTTCAGCATAATAAGCCTTTGATTATTTCATACTTATAAATTGTAAAAAAACTTCACCTATAAGCCTGATGTATCTATTTTCATAGAGCTCGAATCCGAGAAGTATCTCATTTTGTCAGCATGCTTCACATATTTAGTTCTCATCTCATGGTTTGACAAATTTGTAACTCAAAAAGGCCAAGATAGAAGAACTTTGTAATTTTGAGGTAGCAATTTAGATCCAAGAAAAGGTACATCTGTATTAGGGTAGATCTGAATAAGGGTAGATCTGAACAAGAGTAGGGAGTAGAACTGTTAGCACCAGGTCAGTGTTTCGAGCCCAGCAGTATCGTCTCAGTTGACCGGCCGCCATGGGATCAGCGTTTTTGTGGCATCTCAATCACAATCTGAAAATTAGAAACAGTAAAAATAAGTTTAGCTGAGGAGTAAGAAATAATAATAGTTATAATTTATAAGAATCATAATCATAATAATCACAATTCAGAATAACACGGGCACTTCGAGGCGTCTGTAGTTCAATGGATATCTTACAAGGATAAAGAAGAAAAGTTAATGGGACCACAGGCACGGTTCAACGGATGAGTCATTTCGAATCTTCTGTGTTTGACCTATCCATGTTATACTGTATTAATAATAATGATGATGATGATAATGATAATAATGGGAAGAAGAAGAAGAAGAAGAAGAAGAAGAAGAAGAAGAAGAAGAACAACAACAACAACAACAACAACAACAACAACAACAACAATAACAACAACAACAACAACAACAACAACAAGGAATTGCGTTTTTTGTATACATATTATTGTCTTTGTAGTCAAGTGAAAAACGCGATGCAGTGCGCATCTCACAAAGAGGAGATCCCTTATGTGCCTACCAGGTCAAAAGAGCTCCCAACAGAGGGCTTACAATACATTATTTACTTTGACCCAATATTGTGTCCACTTTTCACAGTTCTAGGGTAAGAGATTAAAGTTAGTGATTTATCCAAGTCTCTCCATTAACACTTTTGATATGAAATGTTTTCCATTCCAAGGTACTGTACATACGAGTACATCAATATGGCATTGGAGGGGTTATGAACAGAGTGGCTGCTCAGTGTAAGAGACTGTCATACGTACGTCACATTTCAATATGGCGTAGATCTATGTCCGAGTTTTATACAAAGCAGTTGAGGGGAACCTGTCAAAAAACATAATGTTCTCTACTTCCACTTCCACTGACCTGACTTAAAATAACCCAGTTTGGCAAATCAGAAAGTATGCGAAGACGAACGACTTGAATGTCCTTGAAGTCCACTGGAATCTCAGCCTTTGCTCGACCTTGTTCGTCAAATTTTCCGACGACGTAAAACGTGTCGAGCATTGAATCTTTGGGTAGATCCGCCAAGTACAGCACTCGTTGCTCAAAAGCAAGTTTCTGCTGACTTGTCTGATTTCCAGAGGGGTCTTTCTGGACGACCAGCTTGTTCACAGCAGACGTAACAGGTGGCGGTTTTACGGGTAAGATCTCAATTGTCGTGTTCTGAAACTTGTCTCCTGGGTGGCCTTTGTCTCCACTGGCAAAGTAAACTCTGTGGGATGGATCAGAATACAGGGAATCATCATTTCAATAATTTGGATAAATATGAACAATTAGCAAACTCCATGTAGCACAATTTTGAGAAAATGGGATTCAAAAATTCACACTCTACAATAATAATAATAATAATAATAATAATAATAATAATAATAATAGAGGGTTTGGATTTCAATTAAGGACGATAGCAAACATTTCGTACCGGTACCTTCCAAAAAAGTAAACACAAAAGACATTTTATGACAAATTCCCAAACAATAACTGTCTCTCTAAGAGCTAAAAAGATGGGGAGGGGAGGAGGGGAGGAGGGGGGCTTCACTTTACTTTTATCGTACACACCACCCACCTGGATATTGGGATCGGAGGATGAAACAAGAAGTCCACGAGATCCCCAGCCTTGGGATTGGCGCCCCAGAACACGTCCTGCCCCATGTAGGCCGAGAAGATGTCGTACTTGGAGTACTGCTTGATGGTCGATATTATATTCTCTATCGAAGGATTTCGGTGAATGGAAGTTTGGTTGATCCCATAACTTTTGTCCTGAGGATCGAAACAGAAAAAGATAAAATCAGGCAAAGAATGAAAAAAAGATACATTTTTATTTCTTCTCTGCTACAAGAGTAAAAATGATTTAGGTTAGGCACCAGAAGGAAATGTTTGAAATCTCCAAATATCAGTTTCGTAAGTATAAAAGTCTATTGGGGAACGTAAAATTTGATTTCTTTTTCTCTGATTTTTTGGGGGGTCTTCTTTTGCTGGAACTGAACAATGCTTCAATGTAACCTTTCATAACACATAAAAATGTACATATTGGCCTGCAGACAAAGTGAACGAGGAGAATTGGCGAAATTCCCATCCTCAGGGGAAAATGTCAGAAACATTCTTAAAATTTAAATTGGAGGCTACCAAAAACTCAAATGATTTTTCTCCAGGATGAAATAAAGACACGCTGACTTAAAGAAACTTCTAGAAAGTGTTCTCCCTCTGCACCACATCAGGAGACAGCTCTACTCTAACCCTAACCCTAACCCTAACCCTAACCCTAACCTCTTGACAGATAAAACATCACAATGCAACAACTTCCCCATCCCCTCCCATCCCAATCCCCACTCGCCGCACCCACCGCCACCCCCATCCATCCCAGCCTCCTTTCACGTTGTACTCCTTGTCGTTTTACACACACACAAGCACATATATATGTATACAGAGAGAGACAAAGAGAGAGAGAGATAGAGAGAGATAGAGAGAGAGAGAGAGAGAGATAGGGAGAGAGAGAGCTTTAGAGAGAGCTAAAGAGAGCGAAAGACAGAGAAAAAGAGACAGAGAGAAAGAGGGAGGGAGAGAGAGAGAGAGAGAGAGAGAGAGAGAGAGAGAAAGAGAGAGAGAGAGAGCTAGGGAGAGAGAGAGCTTTAGAGAGAGCAAAAGAGAGCGAAAGACAGAGAAAAAGAGACAGAGAAAAAGAGACAGAGAGAAAGAGGGAGGGAGAGGGAGGGAGAGGGAGGGAGGGAGAGAGAGAGAGAGAGAGAGAGAGAGAGAGAGAGAGAGAGAGAGAGAGAGAGAGAGAGAGAGAGAGAGAGAGAGATAATCTATACCGACCCCAAAAAATTGAGAATAAAAGGTTATAAAATACCAAAATAAAAAGAGAGATAATGCATCCTTCATCTTACTAAGCTGTGCAAAGAGAAAAAATCAAACAATAAAAATCTTCCCACACAAGTACATAGGGGCGTACCTTTAATTTATTGACGGTGCCTTGCAAAGATGAATGGAGTCCTTCATGTTGAAACAAAGAAGGCTCAATTGGTCTGGCAATCTTCTGAATTTTAAGAATACACTTTTTCTGGAAGAGAGAAGACATGAACATTAGATTTGTTCTGTCAAAGGAAAAGGGCGATTTTTTAAAAATGAATTCCAAGAACCTGCTGCAAGTCAAACATTATTTCACACATCAAAAAAAGCTATAGTTTATTAAGATAGTGGGGATTATTGAAATACAACGGTTTCAACATTGCTTTAGAAAAAAAGATTCTTGTACGGAGCAAAGTGGGATGTTTTCACAAAAGGCAAATGAAAATAAAAGTTTTTTAAAAAATATTAAAAAGTGCGAGAAACAGTTGTAAAAGAAAGAAGAACATCCTTTAAAATACAACGCTCACTTACAAACATGACTGCTAATTTCATTGTTATGTTCTGAACACTTTCTCTACATAACGCACATAAAGCTTTCCAGATGTATTAACACATTTCTAGCAAATCTTAATACAAGTACTCATAGTTACATCAGTTCGGAAATTTTGAAGGCAGATATTTTGGTTTTAGTAAGAGTTTACTGGCACTTGCAACACATTAAGGTAATATAAGTGTGGAATGCAGACAGATCTATTTAAGCAAAAAAAAAAACCCCAAAAAAGAGGATAACAATAATGCCCTTAGAGGGTTTGGATTTCAATTAAGGACGATAGCAAACATTTCGTACCGGTACCTTCCAAAAAAGTAAACACAAAAGACATTTTATGACAAATTCCCAAACAATAACTGTCTCTCTAAGAGCTAAAAAGATGGGGAGGGGAGGAGGGGAGGAGGGGGGCTTCACTTTACTTTTATCGTACACACCACCCACCTGGATATTGGGATCGGAGGATGAAACAAGAAGTCCACGAGATCCCCAGCCTTGGGATTGGCGCCCCAGAACACGTCCTGCCCCATGTAGGCCGAGAAGATGTCGTACTTGGAGTACTGCTTGATGGTCGATATTATATTCTCTATCGAAGGATTTCGGTGAATGGAAGTTTGGTTGATCCCATAACTTTTGTCCTGAGGATCGAAACAGAAAAAGATAAAATCAGGCAAAGAATGAAAAAAAGATACATTTTTATTTCTTCTCTGCTACAAGAGTAAAAATGATTTAGGTTAGGCACCAGAAGGAAATGTTTGAAATCTCCAAATATCAGTTTCGTAAGTATAAAAGTCTATTGGGGAACGTAAAATTTGATTTCTTTTTCTCTGATTTTTTGGGGGGTCTTCTTTTGCTGGAACTGAACAATGCTTCAATGTAACCTTTCATAACACATAAAAATGTACATATTGGCCTGCAGACAAAGTGAACGAGGAGAATTGACGAAATTCCCATCCTCAGGGGAAAATGTCAGAAACATTCTTAAAATTTAAATTGGAGGCTACCAAAAACTCAAATGATTTTTCTCCAGGATGAAATAAAGACACGCTGACTTAAAGAAACTTCTAGAAAGTGTTCTCCCTCTGCACCACATCAGGAGACAGCTCTACTCTAACCCTAACCCTAACCCTAACCCTAACCCTAACCTCTTGACAGATAAAACATCACAATGCAACAACTTCCCCATCCCCTCCCATCCCAATCCCCACTCGCCGCACCCACCGCCACCCCCATCCATCCCAGCCTCCTTTCACGTTGTACTCCTTGTCGTTTTACACACACACAAGCACATATATATGTATACAGAGAGAGACAAAGAGAGAGAGAGATAGAGAGAGATAGAGAGAGAGAGAGAGAGAGATAGGGAGAGAGAGAGCTTTAGAGAGAGCTAAAGAGAGCGAAAGACAGAGAAAAAGAGACAGAGAGAAAGAGGGAGGGAGAGAGAGAGAGAGAGAGAGAGAGAGAGAGAGAGAAAGAGAGAGAGAGAGAGCTAGGGAGAGAGAGAGCTTTAGAGAGAGCAAAAGAGAGCGAAAGACAGAGAAAAAGAGACAGAGAAAAAGAGACAGAGAGAAAGAGGGAGGGAGAGGGAGGGAGGGAGAGAGAGAGAGAGAGAGAGAGAGAGAGAGAGAGAGAGAGAGAGAGAGAGAGAGAGAGAGAGAGAGAGAGAGAGAGAGAGAGAGATAATCTATACCGACCCCAAAAAATTGAGAATAAAAGGTTATAAAATACCAAAATAAAAAGAGAGATAATGCATCCTTCATCTTACTAAGCTGTGCAAAGAGAAAAAATCAAACAATAAAAATCTTCCCACACAAGTACATAGGGGCGTACCTTTAATTTATTGACGGTGCCTTGCAAAGATGAATGGAGTCCTTCATGTTGAAACAAAGAAGGCTCAATTGGTCTGGCAATCTTCTGAATTTTAAGAATACACTTTTTCTGGAAGAGAGAAGACATGAACATTAGATTTGTTCTGTCAAAGGAAAAGGGCGATTTTTTAAAAATGAATTCCAAGAACCTGCTGCAAGTCAAACATTATTTCACACATCAAAAAAAGCTATAGTTTATTAAGATAGTGGGGATTATTGAAATACAACGGTTTCAACATTGCTTTAGAAAAAAAGATTCTTGTACGGAGCAAAGTGGGATGTTTTCACAAAAGGCAAATGAAAATAAAAGTTTTTTAAAAAATATTAAAAAGTGCGAGAAACAGTTGTAAAAGAAAGAAGAACATCCTTTAAAATACAACGCTCACTTACAAACATGACTGCTAATTTCATTGTTATGTTCTGAACACTTTCTCTACATAACGCACATAAAGCTTTCCAGATGTATTAACACATTTCTAGCAAATCTTAATACAAGTACTCATAGTTACATCAGTTCGGAAATTTTGAAGGCAGATATTTTGGTTTTAGTAAGAGTTTACTGGCACTTGCAACACATTAAGGTAATATAAGTGTGGAATGCAGACAGATCTATTTAAGCAAAAAAAAAAACCCCAAAAAAGAGGATAACAATAATGCCCTTGAGTAAATGAGAAGAGTATCAAAAGCAAAACAGTAACATTTTCATTACAGAAACAAATCAATGATGATTTATTGGGGTGCACTAAGACTACAAGTCTAATAAAACACAGGGGACAAGAAAAGTGCCATGTTTTACAGTTTGGTATGGACCCAAAGTATCTTTATTCCTTTTTAGTACAAGACGCTGTGTGATTCCAAACAGCATACCATAATTCACAATCTATTATTATTATTGTTATTATTATTTTTATCATTATTATTATTATTATTATTATTATTATTATTATTATTATTACTATTATTATTATTAGCAATATTGCTATTATCATCATCATTATTATTATTATTATTATTATTATTAACAATATTGTTATTATCATCATCATTATTATTATTATTATTAATATTATTATTATCATTATTATATACATTCTACTTTCTAAAATTGTATAGGTTTACGGCCTTTACTTGCTCGGTTTGCCTGATCTTCAAGCACGTTCCAACGTAAGAATATGTTGAAATCACACAACTTCCCCTTACACTACAGACTACTCATTTGTTAGCAACATTTGAAGGGTTAATAATTAATAACCCACATTTCTACCAAAAACAATGTAAAATTCTGATCAAAACGACATCTAAAAGAAAAAAGATTTCCCAACTCCTCACCCAGTTTTCCCCGTGCCCGCAGGACTGCACACGCAGATAATCGTCCAGCAGCCAATCACACGGCTTTTGGTTGTAGAACATGAGGAGAAATTCCATGATCTTTGGCACGTCGCTACACTTGAACAGACGACCTGGAAGAAAAAACATATGCATCATGGTGAAATGAGGCGCTCGTCAAAATAATAAAATCAAAGAAACCGACTCTTTCTTGGCCGATGGACAATTTTTATCTAATTTTCTTTTTCCGGCTGAACACCTTTTAAGTCCATTTAAAAACACATTTTAGTTTGGAGTTAACTGAAAAACATTGATTAATAGGCACAAAAAACGAAAATTTTGAGTATCCAAGGACTCTCGGGCTATGGAAGTTACCAAACTTTTGCTGCCATTATCTCGCTAATTCTTCTTATAAAACCAGGCAACACCACCTTCTTCGAATCCATATACCTTGACTTCTGTTCAAGATAGACGGGTATTCCTTTCCCTGATAGCAAGACAACTGAACAATCTTTCAGATGATACCAATAACTCGTCATGCCCAAAAATTGATGAGCGCCTAATTCCACCCCGTCGAGACAAAGATCTGAGTTCAGAAGAACTCAAGCCCACAGGCTAGAAGAACCCAATATGGCCACTGGATCGGAAAAGTCAAATAAAGTCAAGTAAAGTGTTCAGAAGAAGGATTACTCAGTTAAAGTATTGTAGTGCGAGTTATAAGTGCCACAGCAATTATGAAAGGCATTTAAAGATATGGCCTGTATTGACAAATGATATTATTACCTTTCAAATCCATATTTCTACCTCTGTGGCACACTAAATGCTACACTTGTAATTCACATTTTGTTAATGGTAACAACTCAAATAACAAATTATGTTTATTTCAGAAAAGGAAAGAAGCCCACCTATTTTACAAAACTTTCATCCTTTGTCCTCATTTGATCAAAGTTAAGTTGGACCCGTCATTCTGAAGTACTTGACCAACTGTGTAATATCTGACGTTTTTGAAGGGCTCACAGTGGTGGGGTTGCTGCAGCTATGTCCCTTAGACACAAGGAACAATGTCCTTAGTGCATGGACATTCAAGGTGCGCAAAGACAGTGGAGGGGGGGGGGAACTGCTTGATGGTCGATATTATATTCTCTATCGAAG